GGTCGGCGCTGGGCGCCTCTGGTGATGCCAGTCCGCAAGGGACACTGCGTTATCCCGAGTAACGATAGTTGTTATCGTCAGCCAGTTCTTTCAAGGGTGGTCCCGCCGTAGGAATGCAGCTCTCACCCTTTTCTTCTTTTTTTTTTTCCCCCCTATTCCCACCTCCTTGTTTCTAGGGTTCTCTCAGCTCTGGATGGAAACTGCAATGTTTTTTGAGCTGCTGACTGCAGTAAGGGTTGAAGATTTCTGTCCCTAGTGTAACTTACTCAACATAGATGAAGAGTTTGCGTGTTGAAGAGGTCTTCTCCTTCCCTTCTTGAGGACCTATCCCAAAGTGGGAACTAGCTTTGTGTCCTATTAGCTGCCAAGTAGTTCCTTTCCTTTGGAGTTCAATAAGCATGGGGCCATCGAAAAGAGAAGAGAAAGAGCAGAGCATAATCCTGATCAGCGACGATGAAGCTGAGGGCACGCTTGGGAATTCGGTTCTGTTAGTAGACCCGTTGGGTAAGTACTGTGCTGTGCTTGTCAGTGAAGTTCTATAAAGAACTTTGGAAATAAACTGAAATAGAATGTTATGCGATATGTTTGAAATGTGTCTTTCTGCTGCTAGGAAAACAAAGTACTTCAAAAATAAATAAAGCCGGGAGGAACTGCCATTATTTCATAACTTTTGGGATTTCTTTGACGGCACTAATTACCTTAAAGGAGACTGCTGTGTAGTTTCAAAATACTACAAACCTAGCTGAGACTAGGCCTTTTCAATGTCGATTGGATCCTTTTTGATTAAATTGTCTCTGTTTTGGTAGCGTGCAGAAGTTTTTTGTCCCGGGCCAGTGTACCACTCTTATGGGCGCCATATGAAACCATAAGAAAATTTGTGCCTTATAGTGTTTTTAAAAAATAAATGTCAATAGCCAGTTGAATTTGTAATGACGTTGTAGTTACCTTTATACTGATTTACACCGCGTATTCTCTTTTCTACAGAGAAGTCTGCCGTGGAAGAGGAGAAATCTGAAGAAGTTGTGGATGAGGAATGTGAACTAATGGTTACTTTCTGTAAACAAGCAAAAGTGATGCCTCATGCAAGATACGATTGTACAATACACCCGTTTGAGTATGTTCAGTGACGTGGAGGTTAATATGGGGCTTTCATTTTCCACATTTAGTCCATCTTGTCAAGTAACCTTGTTAGCTTTTTAATGTCTGAAAGCAGAAGTAGAGTTGGAGAAACATGTTTCATAAATAACATTCTGTTTTTCAACTCTGTAGGCGAATGGAATGTGAGACATGCTCACCCCTTGGAAAAAATGCTGATATTTGTAATCAGTGCTACTGCTACATTTGTGATAAACTAGCTTCTGAGGTGAGAAGAGCTGTAATCAAGAAATGCACAACTTTGAGTAAATTACTCAACAGTCTTTTTAAAAGAAATCACTCTTAAGCAAACTGAAAGAATAAATGATACATGAAATGTGGTTATTTTAACAGTTCCCATCCTAAATGTTGACATCTGTCTGCTTCACAATGCTACTAAAAGTGTGGGGGTTTATTTCTAGTAGTCCAGCCAGTTGTTGGAGCAGACATTGACTTGGTGTAAGAGAACGTACCTCCTGTTTGCTTTAGGCACACAGTGTACTTCATGGAATCAAATTACTAAATCAGATTGCTTTCCTCTGCACCAGAGAAATGTCAAACCTTTAGACTGTCCTAACCTAGAGTGAGGGAGCGGGTGAGTTGGGGGAATTGGGTGTGTGGGGTTGGTTGGTTTGGGTTTTTCTTAGAATTCAGAAAACTTTGAACTGTGAGCAAAGTTGGGGTGAACATGCAAAGACAGTGCTCTGTTACCAATTTACCATGGGGAAGGTGCCAGCCCGTAGCTCTGTAAAGTATTCAGGAATGACGGTAAATTACTATGGGGTTTTTTTGTTGTTGTTGGCCATGATATCGAGTTATTGCTATATTGGCCTCTTGCCCTGACTGTCAAAATACTTCACTGTGGCTATGCCTAGGTGTGTAAAGGATGACATCAATTGTAGTCCTTCGCTCAGAGGAACTAACTTTTGATTTGCTCAATTGGAAGAAAACTAACAAACAAAAAACCTTTCCCTGTTTTTCACATTTTATGAAATAGTGCCAGAATTGGACAACCCCTTCCCTCTGTCACTGCAATGCACACAACAAAAGCAAATTCTGGAAGGACCAGCGTGACTTTGCCTTGGCTGGTGTTCTTGTAATGTTCAATTTGGAGCTCACGGATATAGACGCAGACCTTCGGCATGGTGGTAAGTGTTATGCTCTCATTTTGTCCTGGGAGACCTGTGGCTACTCAGTCTGTGGCTTGATGGATGGTCCACAACTCTCCTTGTGAAGGCTTGGTGAAGTTTTAAGGTAGCAGCTCACTGTTGCTACTCTCTTTCTGGGCCATACTCGGACCAGACGCAGGTCTGCAAGTCCGGTTTGTGTATTTTCCTGCTTTCCTCCCTCTGGAAGAAGCAAGAAAGCTTTCCTGGCCAGTAAGATTGGGTGCGAGTAACTTGCTAAATATTTTACATGGGGTACTTATGCTTGACTTTCTGTTTCTTTCAGTTTTGAAAAAATAAAAAAAATGCACTAACAGTTTCACATCTGTCTGCTCTCTTAGGAAGTCTTCTAATAAAATTTATCCAGGAACTTTCTGTGGAATATAATAAGTATCTGATTGGAGAAAGAATGCCTCCCACACAACATGAATGCTTTTGCCTCCCAAAATTGCCTCCTGGGCAGTGCAATGTCTGCAGATCACGCAACATGGAGGTTGTATACAAGTAAGTGTCAACAGAACTCAGCTACTAGCAGTACATACTGGTCAGTGCGGGTTTGATTTCCTTTAGTCAAGTCATAATCGGGATCGTGGCATCTGATATAGCAGAAACATAGTTGAGACAACTTACTTGGCCAGTGAGCTGTTAAATTGCACTTGGATGTAGTTTAAACATCTTAAATACAACTTTAAATACATCTCTTGTGCTATACTAAGACACTTGATAATATCCCTCATTATTATAACCTGGGAAAGCATGAAAGTAAAGCCCGTATTTTTACTAATTTGCTTTTTAAGATGGGGTTCAGCTTTTACTCAATGGTATGTGCCTCAAAAATGCTTAAAGTAATGGCTGTGCAAATACTTTTTCAGCCTGTTGCAGATGCTTTTCAAGGAAAAGCAAGTCAATTTGCTCTCAAACTGTAGAATGGTGATAATTGCCATTTGTTTACAAAGTCCATCATTGCAGACACTTTATCTTACAGACTACTTAACTTTCCTAGGTATTCTGGAGTTTTTGCGCTGGTAACAAGATTTTTAAATCAGGCAGAAAGAGAGAGCCCTAAAGCTGCTGCTGTCATGTTTCTGGGAGCAGCTAAAGAGATAGCACTTCATAAAGACCCTGCTTTGTAAGTATCCAGTTCCACATCTAGAGTATAATCTTCATTTGCTCCTCAAAGGAAGGAGACTAAGTGAGAGGTTTTCCATTTGTTAAGAGTAAGGACAGTATAAAGATCACAGCCCTGGCTTGCAGCACAGTGAGAGGAAAATGAGTGCACCTGAGGGAGAAAGGAGATTGGTTACGGGGAGGGATTTGGGGGAAAAGAGAAGGTTAAAGGTTGGATGAGGAGAGGAAGAAGTTAAGTGGGATTGAGTCAGGAGGAGGGGAGATGATGTCCAAGGGGAAGGCATCTGAGATGGGAACTGGGAGGAGGGAGGGTGACAGACAGCAGATGGTGGCAGGTGGGGTTAATTCCCCAGGAGAAGGTTACAGGGGCAGGGGAGCTTTCCTGAGTGGAGAGAGCACGAGCTGCATTGTGTGAAGAAACATCTGCTGCTGAACTGGCAGGAAGGGAGGATGTGGTGTTCCTTGGGTAATAAGTTTTAGATGCCTCCCGTAAGTCTGGAGGCTGACCTGTCAGCTGGGAGGACTGCATAGTAAATAAATAAAAACAGAGTTTAAATACTTCAGTGTTTGCTACTTGTGCTGTTTATTTTCTTGTTTATATCATGGCCGTTTCATGCTTGATTACTGTCTAGCTTGAGCAAGGATGCAGAGCTTTGCTTTGCAAAACCTAAATATTTTGGGGCTTAAATTCAAGGCTCTTTATAAAGGAGGAGTAAACATGGTCTGGGTTGGTTCAACAGGCCAGAAACAGCAGCTCCTCTGTAATTCTGAGGAACTGTCGAGGTTTGCAAGGAGCAGGTTGGATACATTATTTGGGTAGGTCTCTCCTTGTACACCTATTGTGAGTTCACTGTAGTTACATGGGATGTGGTTTGGCCCTTGTGGGATGATGATATACAGCCCTTCAGAGGCCCTCTAAAAGCAAAGACGTGCCCACAATGGTCTAATACAGCAGGTTAGAAGGTTTGGTACTGCTTTACTTTGCTTGGGTCAGGGGGGTGGTATGCTTCAGTTGGTTAGGTACTGCTTGTAAATCACTGTTAATTCTAGAATGTGTTTTACACTTTAAGCACTTGCTTCATCTGTTTGGAATAATTTTTATTAGCATGATAGCTCCCAATGCTTTTTAAGAAAAAAGTGTTTTCTTAAACAGTTGAGTATAGAGAAGGGGAAAAGGCAGGAAAACAAGCCAAACACTAATTAGTGCTTTTTTCCTCCCCTCTTAGAAGCTGGCAGAACCTTGGTCATACTGCTTCATTAAAGATTGCTGTCCCTTGTCTGTTGCAGAGGTAAGACTTGTCCTATCATACGATGAGATGGCAATGGGGCGGTTGCTGGCTGCAAACTTTCTGCTTGTATTTAAAATGCATTTCAAATGACTTCTATGCGAAGGCATAAAGAAAAAAGTGAATGCTTTAGCTCTTAAAAGCCAAAAGTAAACTTGCACAGGTGTATAATCCTATGGTTCTGTAGCATCAGGAACTCCTTATCGGGAACACGACCCCATTGTACTGTCTTAGGTATTGTTTGAGCAGAGCAAGAGCAGCCTGCTGCTGCCTGCGTGTAGAATGCAGATGGGTAGGGACAGGCAGAAGAATACAAACAATAACATGCACCGGTCAGCCTAATGAGCAGGGACCTCAGCGTGATTATCAGGTTCTACAGTTGTACACTACAAATCAGGATTTTTAGAAGCTCTGTTGAATATTAGTTCCGTTCTGTGAAGGACGAGAGCGATACCTGCCTTATTTAGAGCCACATAAACATTCAAACCCTTCTTTGTTGCCTCAAAGGAGAGTAACTCAATGGGGAACTCAAAGCCAAGAAGATGGATTACTTTTCAACTGTAGTCTAGGAGTGTTCTGTAAGGCCAGACCAGAAGGTGGTGTCAGGTAGCTACTTGTGGTTATTAAACCAAAGAGTAAATAGTGTCTGTAAAAGACCAAAACAGCAGCCTTGTAGTACTCCACTGGGATGGAGTAGTCAGGGATGTAACATAGTAAAGTTCCCCCAGAGGCTGATGAATGAGGTCATCTAGCTCACTTGGCTTAATTCATTTCTCGTTTTAGCTTTATATTTCACCTTTAACCCGAAATTCACTTGCAACAGAAGGTTAATGAATTAACTTTTTTCAGGAACACTCAAAAACAATTATATAGTCTCACCTCTTATTTGAAACTAATGACAGGCATAACCTAAATCCTATATCAGTTTTCATTTTAAATTACTATTCTTGAATTTTTTAATTTCTTACTTTAAAAGAACAGGAAAAGGAATTTTTTTGCCTCCCTCCCCCAGTTTTAAGAGAGTGAACTCTTCTTTGTGTCTGTGTGTTACCTCCAGTTTTCAGTTGACACAAATGGTTTCACTAGCTGTGAAGCTGCCTGGAGCTCAGGTGGTTCAGGGTGCCTATCGGGTTCTGCAGCGTTTCTCGCATATACTCACTGGGGATCCTTGTTTTAAAACTTAAGACCACAGAACCTTGGTTTCACTGGTGTTTAAAAAATAATAACAAAAGAGCAATACCGTTATTCACTACAAATCTTAAAGCACAAATTTAAATATAGATCCAAACTGTCTGACGTTTAACCAAAAAAACCCCCAAACTTCTGTAGAATAGTTTCCCATAGGATCAAAAAAAAAATCCACCAAGCACAACAACTTAACAGTAATTCATCTGATTTCAAGAGATTTTGATTATTTTTTTTTCTTTTCAAAACAGGATCACAACACAACTTCAGAGGATGCTGGTGTTGTGTGACTTTACAAAGAATTTGTATGAAAAGTTTGTTAACTTCTTTCAGTCCATCTCACTTCCATGTCACTGTTTTGGCTTCTCAAATAGGTATGTTCGCTGGGTTTTGTCTACAGAATATATTTTTATACAGTTGCCTGAAGTTGAAAACAGCTCTATAGAACAGTTCTTTCACTGATAGTGTTAGGTGTGAGCACTTCATAGGAAGATTTCGGTATTAGCTGCTTTGTATTTGTCCTGTCCTTACAGGAAAAGTTGTTGTTTGATGCTATGGCTAAGTTGTTGTCCATATAGCTTTTTTCTTTCTTTTTTTTTTTTCCTTTTTTTTTTCCCTTTTTTTTTTCCCCCCCAGAAGTGAGCTGTAAACCTCAAAATGTTTTATTGGTAAATCTTTGTGTTACTTAAGGGAAATAAATTGTGGTGTACAAACAAAACTTGGTTAAAAATTACTTTATTTTTGTACTTCCAGCTTGAATGTTGTGCCATGGGACCATGTATTACTGACCACGGTTTTAAAAGGCCAGAACATCACTGGTCAAAGAACACAGAAAGGAAGAAAAGTATTTCTGTGGGAAACACTCCCTGTTATAGAGGCTCGAGTGGAGAAATTGGTAGACAAAAAGAAGTAAGATCGGTTTGGTCTTGTTCTGGATTTTTCATTTTATGAACTCAACTTTTACATTTTGCACGGTGTTGACTGCAGTATAGTGTTTCCCTAACATCTGCAGGAGTTTTGTATAATGGGGACACATACAAAACACAGATGCATTTGAAGCTGTTCCTGCCCCTTACTTATCAACAAGGCCAGTAGCTTTTTGAAGTTTTTCAGAGCAGAATCAAGCCCTTTGAACACTTCAGGACCAGAAAAGAATGTTGAAGTGGATAACTTTGTTCCCATAACCTCAGTAGGTTTTAGATGTTGATGTTTAAAACAAATTCTGTTCATCAAAGTCTGATGAGGTGGAAGACAGCAAAAAAGTGCGTTGTGGTCTCGCGGTCTTCAGAAGTCTGGATTCAAAGGCATACAGTCCACTTAAAGAATTAAATTGAAAGGCAACCTCCTGTTTTATTTTGCCAGAGTACAGAGAGAATCTGTGGATAGCTTCTTGGAGCTTATTTCATTTCCGGCTGTCTCTTTCTGCCAGTTGTATTTCTATCCTATTGTGCAATGTCTCTTGTGTGGGAAGATCTACTGTTTTGCTTCGTTAATTGTAGTAAATATTTGATTGACCTGTACATAGCTTTGCACTTCCTTCCTCTTCCTACTCACCCTCTTTTTTTTTCTCCTCAGGTATAAAGAAGTTGTTCGCTACCTGAGAGCTGTGAAATGCAATGATACCAAAGGGTAAATGGCTTTTTTCTTTTTTTTTTTTTAATTGTTTCTTTGCCTTAAGGTTGTGTCCCAGTCTGTGTTTCTTCAATGTGTAATAAACTGGAAGAATGAAAAGCAGTAGGATTTTGGTGGCTGTTTTCTAAGTGAGAGCAATATTGCATTGCCTAACTATTAACTAACTTCTGCCTTATTGGATGTAACTTATTAGTGGTCAAGCGTAATCAGATCTATACATACATATTGTAAAACTTTCATGTTAATGAAAATCAAATATTCATTTCTTCCCTCTTACCAGGTTAAGAGATCTTCGAGATAAAATCCCATTCTATTTGTGTAAAACCGGAGACTTCCTCGATGCTGCGCATTCGCTGCTGTTTCCCGTCAATAGCCTTGCCTGCTGTACTGCCTGCCGGATAACGCCTTTTCAGTTTGAGGTCTACCTGAAGATGTTCAGAACAGGCAGTGTCCCCACTGGAAAGGCTATGCTAGACCCTGGGCCCTGGATTACAGTTGGCAAGTGTGATTTCTTGCTTACATATGTTTAGAACCTTACTTAATTACAGCTTTTACTTTTTCATTAAATCTAGTAACATTCGGAGGGACTCTGAACCCAACTATAAATTGCCCAGACTAAAGCATGGTACATAACACTAGGCAAGAAGAATGTCTTTATATTTGAGCATGAATTTGTTTAGTATACTTCACACAAAATGCTAATTTTGTCAGCTGTGAAGTTGTTTTGCTGAAAGCAACCTATTAAAAGAAAATACAAAGCTCTCTATTACATCGTGGCATTACCAATGGCAGTGTGTAACTTAGCATTATAGAATCATAGAGCCTTGACCTTGAGAATAGACCTCCACTGTCATCGAGTCCAACCGTCAACCCAACACCACCATGCCCACTAAACCATGTCCCTAAGCGCCTTCATTATGGTATGTCTCAGCCTTGACCTTGAGAATAAAAGCTTCCTGATGGAAAGGGTTTCACGATCTGTGTATTACATTCTGTCATTAGTTCAGCCACTGATAACTGTGATCACCTGTCTTGGTACGTGCTACTTGTCAAGGTGTATTCTGAAATGAAAGATTTATTTTGGAGATGTTCAACTACTAGTAGAATTCTTAGACGGATGAGATACCGACAGTGTGTATCACTGTACTGTGGTGTGATGTATGTGATGAAGACTCGATTCTGGGTTACCTGCTGTGATGGCTTAGTCTAAATTGTATTCAGTTCTTTGCAGCCTTCCAGAATAGCATTTTACAGTTGATGTTGTTTTACTCTTCAGAACCTACAAAAAATTGTAAAATAGCTGTAGACACTCATTTGTCTCTCTTTGTTAGGTTTCTGTAGAAACATATCTGTAACTAAGTTAATATCTTGTTTGTGTTCACACTCTATAGTTATTCAGGGAATGTAAGATATGTTTTGGATTTTTTCTTCTTGCAGGGACTCCCTTGAAAGATGGTGTTCTAATTAAGCAGGCGCTCAAACTCCTTTACAGCAATGTGTCACTATACAGGAATGTGAGTCTGTGTTAAAACTGTGTTTCTGTGGCCCATCGAGTGTTTCTGTATATTACCTGTTTTGTCCAGTTGCTTCTCTAATGCAAGGATTTACTATCAGAACCCTCTTCTCTCTGAATATTTCACACCTGTGTGAACAGATTTGACTTTGTAAACAAATGTTCTGCTGTGTTTCAGCCTAAATGCTGGAGTTCCCTCATCATGATTTTGGGTAGTAGCAGTTTGCTGGAAAAAAGCGGACACCTACATCCCCTATCCCTGAAAGAGCCACCGCTTGACTTCCAAAAGGTAACTGAAACAATACTGTGAAATGAGAGAACCTGTTGTCTTGGTTTTATACCAGACTTCATTTGATGTGGGCACTAGCTCATTCTTGTAAATACTAAGGTTGACTTCACAGTGCCTCCTCAAATACTCCTGTGGTATGTGCCAGATGTAACACTCGGCAGAACGTTGTGATTCAGGAGTGTTAAATGCAGCTTGCAGCTCAATGCCTAATACTGATTCTGTATCTTTTAATGTTGAGATGAATCAGATAACAAAATGGATAGGAAAGCAGTTTAAGAAAAATGTGTTCAGATAATCCTAAAGAGTCAGTATCTGGGTATTTTCTTCATGAGAACAGAAATAACTGTCTGCTAAGCATAGTAGGTTAAAATGAAGAGGTTATGCGATATGGTTTGGTTAGTGCTGTAGAGCCTCAACTTCCCTTGAGTATGGCGAACAGTCAACCTCATCTGTAAAAATGCTGAAAAAATAAGTAAAAGCACATTAAAGAACCATCTTGGGCGCTGCGTGATGTTTGTAGAGTGTCTGGACACCCTTCCTCTTTACTTGTGACTCATTACTTCCATTGCAGGGAGTGCTCGCTGCCAGCGGCGGCCTTTTGGAGGAACTGAAGGCAAAAATTAATGTTTCTTTACCACCTGCTCTTTTCTCTCCCCATGTAAGTGTGCACATGGCAATAAGGAAATTTACCATTTGTTTTATTGTACTTGAAGATACAGTAGTATTGAAAACAGCTGGATTGTTATGAAGAGCTTTTAAGAGGGGGCTTGAAGGTTTTTTGGGGGGAATCGGCGTAAGACTGTTCTTAGCACAGTCTAAAGGCTAGAGCAGATATCTGAAGGTTGGAAAACTATTAGGGTCTGTTCTGGTCTGACACCATCTTCAACCTAGGACAAGTCTTACTTCATCACTGTCCAAATTTATGCATTTATGAAGTGGAAGGGTTGGTAATAATTGATTCTGTCTTAACTTCTCACAGGTTAATCTTGTGTTTGACTCAAACTGGAGACCATCCTTTGAGACTTGACAGTGTCTCAAAACTTGGAATAGCCCAGAATTTCTAAACTTGTTTTGAATGATGGTTTCAAGTGTAGTGGAACGTGTTTAAAGATGGCTTGAAATGTGTTCTATATTAAATACAGTCAATACATCTAAGGAACTATCTTATTCTTTTTTACTTCTTTTGAGGAAGTTACATGTAGCTCACTCTCCAAATATGTGACTACTGGGCCAGAATTTTTTTTTTCCTTTAATTCTACTTCTGCTTCTGTGACGGTGTGAGACTTTGTGTTTCTGTGAGGACTTTTGAGAGCACCAGGTGAAACGTGCTATATAAATAGAAATGCCTGTTCTATTCCCCCATCTTTTGGTCTTCATAAGATTCTTGTGGATGTCGTGTCTGACATCCAACCCCTCTGACTGGAATGGTAGTAACTTAGTGCTGATTTGACTGGTTATGATATACAAGTGGTGGGAAAGTGGGCTTTTAAATATATGTCTCTTCTTGTTGATATCTCTTCCTATAGTTGCACCATGAGGCTTGTCTTATTCTCGCAGTACAAGCAGTACAACAGATGCTTTTTTGTGATCTTCCGTACTTGACTTCCTTCTTAGAGATAGCCCTGGCCTTTGGGGTGAGTCCTAGATACTGATTTCTGTTCTAAGAGATTAAAGCAAATGATATTTAAAATCTGTGTAACGCCAACTTGGAGATTTTAGACACATTTAACTTGGGTTTGTTCCCCTTTAGCTTTGCTGACCTTTAATTTATTCTGTTTCTTTAAGAAACGATTGGCAATTAGGTTAAATCACTGGTCTTATTTTGTCTCTTCCTAGAATAACTTTTGGGCTCTGAGGCTGTTATTGGACCATCTTTCCTATGAAGAACATGTTCTCCATGGCACTGTCAACCTGATTTTGAGAGATCTAAATCGTCAGAAAGCAACAATGCTAAAACTGTGAGTAAACACTTTCTCCCTGAAGTTTTGTCTGTTCATGGAAACAGTAAGAGCAGTCCCGCCGCAGTAACGTTTAGCAGAGAGATAATCCTTAGCTCTTTGAAACCAACCAGCCCGGTGCTTTGGGTAAGTCAAGAATGCAAACAAGATGCTAGGAATCAGTAGGAAGGTTGTCTCTGAAGAGCTCTGTTCTGTTTCCTGGTTTTGTATTGCTTAGGTGGCAAAACCTTGGTCCCCAGTACGTGGGAGAATTCCTTTGCCTCTTCCTGACATGCAGACATAAGAAGATGCAATCCATTGGCCTGTTCACTCTGAATATCATTACAGAGAACCTGCATATGTAAGTGTGAATCTTCGTCATAGCCAAATCGAAAATCATTGTGTTGCAACACTGATGGTAGTTTTCTCTTAATTAACAGTCTTAAGTTACAATTCATTCTTGTTTTTTATTGTTGTTAGTACTGTTACTAGCAGTGGTAAAGATACTGAACACAATATTTTGGGTAGATTTGAAATTGTTGTGTGTTACCTGTTGCAACCGAATGGCCTTCTCGCTTCCCAGTGCCCAATGTTGTGAAAAACATGTTACCTGCTCTTGGCAGCCCTGAGCAGTTGTCAAGATTACATATGGTACGGTCTAGTTCTATTACTTAAATATCATTGTCATCAACAACAACCAAAAAACCTTAATTGGGATTTACAGCAAAGTAGTTACTGGACTCTAAGGCGGCATAATACTGGATAAAACTGTATTTAGAGGAAATAGTTGAAAGTAGCTCAAAATGTATGTTATTGTGTATCTACAAGAATACAATGGGTGTGCAGGTGTCAATGTTTCTTGTAAACATGTAAGAAATGCTTCACATGGTGGTGAGGGAGTAGATCCCCACCAAAAACTAAAGGTTCGGGAACATATGTGCGCTGTAATGCAAACTGGGGACAGCATTAAGTTTGTGCCTGTCGTTCTTATCCCCTTTTAAAGAGAAGAGAGACCACTTGCTCTGCAGCAGCACAGAGCTTCAGTGGGTGGGGAAAACAGAGTTCTGATAAAGTCCGAGTACTTCATTTAGATTACAAATTATAATCAAACACTGACGTGTCACTTCTGAAGCCACTAGCTGTTTATAAGTATAATCCTTGCTCTCCTGTGTTACGCAGTAAGGCATTACGGGCTTTGGAGTGATGGACTTTAATGTGTTGACATAATAGTTTTAAAATGAATTGACTTTGTGATTGTAGACCAGAAGGCAGAGTAATTGCCTGCTCTGGCACTTCTAATTCACGTGTAGCTGATGGCAGCAGGGTAATGTTGAGAATTCACTTCTTAGTTGCTGTCTTAAGTGGAAATCATGGACATGTAAGTTGACCCTCTTTGTGAAAGGCTCCTGTCTGTTTCTTCTCTCCAGCCTTTGCTGTGCGTAGCTGAGAGAGTAAAATACCTAATTTCACTCAGTTGTGTATGAGCCAAGTTGTATTTAAAAATTTGTGATTCCATTAACTGTCTCTTTTTGTTTTGTGAGGCTTTACAGTATGCTCTAGCAGTGATCCGAGAGAATCTCATGAACCGCTGTTTCTTATGGTCTATCTTTGTCTTAACTATTTCACTGTACATCTGATGCTGAAATCATCTCCATTTGGAAGTTGAAGTGAATTGTTGGATTAGTCTTCTTGTAAAGCTTTGATCAATGCGAAACTCCGAGTGGCTGAAACTGGGGGCGGGTGTGTCCGTAGGAGAAAATGGATTAAGAATCTATATCTGTTTTTCAGGTGTCCATGGGCAAAGCATCTTTGCAACTTCTTTCACAATGCAGTGAGTATCTCTGTATTTTAGAATCTAGCAACAAAACATATCAATGACAACTGTATTACCTATCAATTAGATATTTAAATATATCATTTGATATATCATGTATCAAATATATCATACGTCAATATTGTTATAAAAATTACTGAAGGATACTATTTTTTTTTTTCTCTGCCCAGGGATTAAGGCACCTGCCCCTTGGCACTGCAGCTCATCGTGAAGTCTCGAAGTTCATAAACATTTTTGAAAACGTGTAATTTGGCAAAATCTTCAGGAATATTTTCCAATTCGCCTTAATCTGAGAAATCTCTTCCTGGAGTCCATTGTGTTCTGCTTTGGTCGTCATCTCCAAAAACATTCAGCTAAAAACTGACTTCAGACAAATCCAAAACGGAAATCCTAGGTTAGGATGGTGAACGGTGGCTGTATTTCAGCAGACGTGTTTTGAAGTTTTCTTTCTTGCAGGTCCATGTATTAAGCAGTTGTTTAAAGAGGTAGCGGGTTTAAGTTTTTAAAAAAAGCCGGTCTATAGAGAGATGCTGGTCGGGGGGGAACGAGGGGAGAGAAACACGGATGAAGTAGAAAGCGCCACAGTCTTTGTTTCTGTTGTCGCACAGATGCGCTGTGGGCGAGGTGTCTGCAGCAGAACAACTGCCGAGAGAGCAAAAGTTTAAAAAAGAACTGCCTCTCCACCGGTGTACAACAGTATGCATGAAAATGCTGTTGGCACACCCTCTTTTCTTTAGTGTATAATTATAAAAAATAAACCATGCTTGAGGCTGAAGGACATTAACTGAGGCTTTCTTACTTGCTTCAAGAAACCAGATTTGGGAAGGCCTGCTGCAGTAAATAGCTTGTTTTGTTTGTAAATAAAGAAAAAAAATCTAGTTTTCAGGGTTTTCCAGTGCGGGGCTTTGTTTTTATTTTCTACAAAAGATGACGGTTAGACTGTGCTGATGGCTCTCTGGGTTTCCCAAATCCTTATTATAGTGGTAAGTTTAAGAGTTAACTTTTGAACTGTGGAGGTAGAAATAGAGCAATATTTCTAGCCTGGTTTATACTCCTCTGTGCCCTGCTATGATACCCGGCTGCTTTCGTTTGGCAGTCAGGGGGGAAAAAAAAATCTGAAGTTGTGATGAACTGTATTTTGCACATTTAAGGCTTTCAGTGGCTTTTGCAGCTTTTGTTACCCTAAATAAGCTACGCTATTCAAGTTTTCTACAAAAGTGTACATGTATCTAAATCGACACAATTCTAAGTAAAACTCTGTAGAAATTCTGTCGTTACGTTGTCAGTTCTGTTTTGGGTTTTTTTGTGGATTTTTTGTTTTGTGTTTTTGGTTGTGGTTTTTTTTTTCTTTAAAACAGCAGCTGTACCTTTATCTTGTGCTGTCCGAGTTCAGCCAGGACGAGCAGAGGTCAGTGAAGCCCCCTGGTACTCGGGATTCTGGTTCTGCTGACTGTCGGCAGGGCTGGCCACGCGCCGTCTGGTTCTGCTCTGTGCTCCTCAGGATGCACGGCAGTGTTTCACCCCGGTTTCCAAGAGGGGTGTTCCTTGCATGTTCCTAACGATATGATCTTTCTCGCCTCGTCTGCCTGAGTAGTTCTGTTCCTGTTATGGCTGAGGGGGAGAAAAAAGAGGGGGAAGGAGGCTGCAAACACTAATCTTCGTAGGCGCTGTACCTGTGTTCTCCGCTTTGCCCTGGTGTAAAAGCTTTCCTCCTTTCTCGACGTGCAGTCTGGCCTGTAATGCTCTCTGGGTGCTCGGTAATGCAGAGGTTGGGCAGCCGACTGCCCTGAAGGCTCCTGTTCTCAACCCTCCAAACTTTGTTAGCCCTCGAGCATGCTAACGCCGGGGGGGTTACATCGCGCTTTGTCACTTTGCTGTGGGTGCAAAGAGACAACAGCAAAACCAAGCAAGCCTTAATATCAGGCTGAACTTGGACTGGGCGTAGACTTCGGTGTCGCCCTGAACGGTGCCCCGTGCGGGACTGGGCACAGGAGGGAGAGGGAGCAGGTGAGGGCAGGGGTTTTGTTACCCCTTCAAGCCTGGATTTACCATCATGAGGAAAGGCTAGGAACTGCTTATTTACCGTAAGTAAATGGCATATCTATTCGTTATTTATCTACTTCTCAATTTTAATGAATTATAGCAGCCCTTATGGTGAGGATTATACTATGGATAATGATATAACCTTTTATGTACGAGGAAAAGACTTTCTCTGAAGATCTGCACTTGACTTTGGACATGGGTTGGATAGACAGGTATAGTCACTACAGTCAACCACCGTAGCAGGTACCCTGAGACTGCGACTCGTATAACCCCAAAGGTGAATTGAAGGCTGATGTCGTCTGCTTTGCTCCAGGTACAGCTGAGATGAACAGAGCTCATTAAAAATTGAAATGCGTAGTTTGGAGAGGAAAATGGGCACCTAGAGCGCTCTCATCCAAATATTGTATTTTAGCAAAGAGAACTCTGCTGTTTTAGCAAGTGTGTCTACAGCTGGTACTGCCAAACAATAAATAAACATTTGCAAGTAAGTGCCTGTATCGAAAATAAAATTTCATCTGAAAATAGTGAAGCTGTCTTATGTCCTTAAGGTCTGGAAGGGGAATAACGGCATCTAGCCCAGGAGCGTAAGGTACCTGCTTGGTTGTGGTCAGCAGTTAGCAGGCCCCTTCGGCGTATGTGCGTCACCGTTGGTTACGGAGGGGGTTTCTGAAGTACAGTGTTAATAAGAGCGGGGAGTTCTCAGTGTAGTATTTCAGAACAAACAAACAGATAGACCCCCCCTGCCTCGTGCTGCTGGTAAACCCGCGTGGCTTTTCCACCTCTGCTCAAGGGGGGGAACGGTGATGCACGTCCCGGCAGGGTACGCTGGGAGAATGAGGCCGAGATCGTTCTGGATCTGAACAGAGAACTTGAAGTGTGAAGCGGGCAGCTTCACTGTCTCGGCCATGTGGGCAACGGCGGCTTTGTACGATAAAATTGAGGGTGAGCACGTTCATGGCCCCAGCGCCAGCAGAGCCGGGGGTGCTGTACAGGGTGATGTACCCCAAACATGTGTTACGCTTCCCAACCTCGTCTGCTGAGTGGGCTGGGAGAGTGCTGATACCATTTCTACCAAGGACACCAATTAACCTGCTAAATGAGTTCATCCCTTCAGAGTGCGCACCGGAGAACTGTTACCTAAAGCACCATCCCAAAGAGAGCCATAATTAGCAGCTGGTGCTGAGGGCAGACCCCGTGCTTCCCAGGGACGGCTTTTGCAAGGTGGTGGGGGCTGTCGGCTCGGTGCTCGTCCCCCACCCCCAGACAACATCCCCGGGTCGTGCGCAGCGTAGCACCGGGCTATGTCTGTCACACACAGCATCCCCTCCCCTGCCCGTGGGCCAGCTCCTGCCTGGGGAGTTCTTCTCCCCCTGCTCTCAGACCTGCTCCCACGTTGCACCTAAATAACGCGGGGACAGCAGTAAGGGACGGGACGCAAGTCATTGCACAGCTACACAGGGGAGTCGCACGCCTCCAGCTGCCTGCCAAACCAAAAATACTCAGTTTTAATAACTGGACTAAGCAAAGTAAAAAACCAGCTCGTTGCTGGCTGCCAGATTAACAGATGGCTACAATCATTAATATTGCAAAACTTCAGGAGTTCATAATTCTTTAATCTACAAAGCCGGTGGGGGTAGCTAATGCGGGCCCTGCAATCTGCCGTGCTGGGGGCTGCCGCCCGCCCACCCACCGCGGCCGGGTCTGTCCCAGACCCCCCGAGGGCTGGGCAGACGTTGCCTGGGTCCTGCCTGCCGGGCCAAG